AATGCACAGTAGCAAATTGTTTAAAAATGTAATTAAGACAGTGTACATAGTACATGTATGTTTGTTCTGACAGAGTATACACAGCACACATGTCATCACTATCATAAGCTGTCCTCGGGGTTTTGTGCACCCCACATAATGTAGCAAAATTTGATCATTCTTTGCATAATTTCTGACTATTTTCCTTGATCATTCTTCGTTAAAATTAACAGAATCGCACAATTTCACATTTTTGGGCTCAGTTTGCATACTTTTAGAATTATTTTTGCATAAAACCACGGGGACAGCTTAAGCAATCCACTAAGTCCAAATTTTAAAACTTTCCAAATTTGTACACCCTCCTCAAGCAGCCGTATCAAAGATGCACCAATTATTCAACATCACCAAAATGCAGTTTATTAATGCCATAGGACAGGTCAAGGCTTTCAAGTTTCTAGCTTGTTATCATTCCTGAAAGGAACAACTTAACAAAAATTTTCGTTTTTAGTTTCTGAGTTTCAGGTGTGAAAAGTAGCCAAACAGACGTCAGTGGATTGCTTGCGACAGCGACGATGTCTGTTTGTTCATGATGAAAGGACATGGACATTGTTCAGGTCACACAACAAAGGGTGTGGGATTGTTATTTACAGAGAGGCACCTCAACAGTTCAATTATCATCTTCTAATACTAGTGAAAACTAAGACAGACAGACAGACAGACAGACAGACAGACAGACAAATAGATGGATGAATCTTCAGTGATCTACTTCTGAGAACTAACCATTAGGGAAAGCTAGAAAAAGAAATTAATACATTTCATTACCTTAGAAGGACAAAGTTCTATCTGATATTTTTGGCCGTTTTGAGTTCTAAAACCACGAGGCCAGAAACCAAATATTCTCCTCTTTGCACTACGAAAATCGTTAGATAATTCTGTCGTTATCTAGATATCCAAAAAGTTGCATTTAAAAAATGCTTGGCCATGTTGTGGAACTCAAATTTTTAACTTCACATATCTCAAAACTATCAAAAACTAGGTAGTGAGCAGACAGAGCTTTGTAATCTAGGGTAGCGATTTGAGACCCAAAATAACAAGTTACATCTGGAATTGTGTACAACTCAGGGAGAATAGGAAGAAATCTTATTGAGAAGTCGTGTGAGTCTGATGCAGGCGGGAGCCACAGTAAGGTAGGCTACAAGCACATTGCCCTAACTTCAGGGACAAAAAGATAATTTTGTCTTTAGCTTTAATTTAGAAAGAGTTTTAGGACACATGTAACATAGGTCCTATAAGCGCCGAAGATTAGAGGTTTTATTAGAGAGTAGCATTTGTGAGGCAGCGTGGTGGAATCAGGCTCTCGTCAATTTTTGGGTATGTAGAGTTACTGGTATAATCTTAAAGGTTGTTCACTTGTGTTTATTTGGATGAAAAAAATATCCATTCATCTTGAATACAAGTCGAAATATTTGCGAAAGAAAGAGGTGGGGGTCACCTGTTTTCAGAGGTAAAATTAGGGAGAAAAAGGCCGCCAAAGATTAGTTATTCCCTTAGCTTAAGAGTCCGTGGTAACTGAAAATTTAAATTTTTTGTGCCTTTAATCAACATTTTTCAGAAAAATCCACACAGAAATGAGTTCTTTAATGGGCATGAAAGGTGTTGAGCCAAAAAACAACAATTTGATAAAAATTCACAAACCTGTGAAAAAATGCAAGTTTCTTCACTTTGATTATTTTGACGAGAGCCTGATTCCACCACACTGCCTCACATGTATATTTAACAAAGAAAAGGAGGAGAAGGGATAAGAAGAATGACAGATGGTTGATAGAAAAGAAGGAACAAATCACACCAGAGCATGACCTGCCAACCCTCCACAAAGACTTGTCAGAAAATATCACAATCTTTGACAATCAAAACGAAGTCCCACCACCTTCACAGAAGGTGAGTCATGCAAGAAAACTTCAGAACACTGAGATCAAACTATCATGACACGAAAGTATGCAAAATAAATTATGAGTTGAAAACAAATTATAATGTATTCGAATCACAACCAAAGGATTGGCTCGGTCAAACCTCTGCTGCATACAAGTCTCACCAACCAAGAACCTAGAACTAGAACTATCAGACAAAGTAACAAATATCCATTTTCCAGCTAGCCAGACACATTTGTTGGGGAGTGAAAAGTAATCTGTTCAAATGTTCCAAGCCCAGAAAGCAAAATGTTCAGACTGAGAGGGAAAAAACCCCCTTTAATTTTTTCAATAATTCGCTACCTTAGAATTACAGAGTTCTATCCCACATTTTTGGCCATTTTGAGTTTCTAAGACCAGGAGGTCAGAAACCAAACGTTCTATCTGACATTTTTCATCCTTTCTATTTACTAAATTCATGAGGTCAGAGTCAGAAACCAAAGGAAGAGGCTAGCCGTACTTAATGACGGTTAGACTGGCAGTCTAGCCGTACTTAAGTACGGCTAGACTCGCAGTCTAGCCGTACTTATTCTTAATATGATGGCTAGACTGACCATTTAACAAAAAATAGGCCTACTGAATTGTAAATATACTTTTTTAGTGTGCAGTACCTAAAGTATTTGTATTTGAGACGAAACCAGGTGCCTAAATGACAGTGCATGTATTTTAAACCTCCTGTTTTCTAATGTTAATAGGGCCTAAGATAAGTACGGCTAGACTGGCAGTCTAGCCGTACTTAAGTACGGGTAGACAGCCAGGCTAGCCGTACTTAAGGACGGCTAGACTGTCAGGCTAGCCGTACTTAATATTGATGGCTAAATTGTAAATGAAATTTTTAGTTTGCAATGCCTAAAGTATTTGTGTTTCAGACAAAACAAAAAGGTGCCTTACTGACTTGCATGTATTTGAACCTGAATAATTACTAGATCTAGATCTAATGAGACCTGTGTACTTAACAGGCTTGAGTCGATAGGGCCAAACCTAAATCTAAGTACGGCTAGACTTGCAGTCTAGCCGTACTTAAGTACGGCTAGACTCTCAGTCTAGCCGTACTTAAGTACGGCTAGCCACTTCGGAAACCAAATGTGTGATAAATATGCTCAATCAAAATCGTAATTCTGAGGTAGCGAATTGTACCTACATGATGTATCGTTTTTAACTTTAAGCAACATTCAGAATTTGAATTTGGACTTCATATTTCTCAAGCACATGCAATCAATGCTACAGATTTTTTTTAAATACCGGTACAGAAAAGATTCTTTAAAATTTTAGGCTTAGTTCATCTAGACAGTAGGCTAACAATATCTACAAGTTTGCAACCGTCCAGGGGGGAAATTTCCACAGTCAGCAACTCAGCCTGTCTTACCATTCAAAATAATAAAACATCATTTTCCTCAATGAATGTTGTAGGCTTGACCTTGTAGAGTCTCCTCCATGAGTCATCATCCTCAACACCCGAGACTTTTTCAGTTCCCTGCATCCTGTCCAAGTTCATGATTTTTAAAATTGTTACTCACATTACCATCACTAGCCACCTGCCACCTGGCTACCCTAAAGTTACAAAGTTTTATCTCTTCAGTACCTAGTTTTGACAAATCTGACGTTAAAGAAATATGAGTTTCACAACACTGGTTAAACTTTTTCAAATGCACTTCTTTGAACATCTTGATAACGACTCCGAATAATCATATGATTTTGATGGAGCAGATAAAACATTTAGTTTCTGACCTCATGGTCTTAGTAACTAAAACTAACCAAAAATGTCAGACAGAACTTTGTAATCCTAGGGTAGCCACTTATCACCTGTCCGTTGTCACTTGTAACCTACTATAATCTGATACCTATCGTCTGTCCCCATGTCCATGTTAATCCATTGGTGCTCCACTCTTTGCCACCACAGGCCTCGGTCTTCCCTAGTCTCTGCTTTACTTTGATGTATCATTTCCTCAAGCTGTAGACCGATGTCACATTTGTGAGGCAGCGTAGTGAAATCAGGCGCTCGTCAACATACAGAAATTGGAGAAATAGGCATTTTTCTGAAAATTTGGAAATTTTTACCGAATTTCTATTTTTGGGCTCAACCTCCTATATGTCCATATAAAAACACATTTCCATGTGAATTTTACAGAAAACCACTGATTTAAAGCACGAAATATGTCATTTTTCTGTTTTCAAGGACTCTTTAGCTATTGGAGTTATCCAAATTTACCTGCCATTTTCTCGCTAATTTCACCACTGAAACCAGGCAACCTAACTTCCTTCAGTCGCAAATATCTTAAGTTCTATTCAAGATAGATGGATATTTATTTCATTGGAAGCAAGGCAAATAAATCGGCTTTCAGATGATACCAATAAAACTCCATGTCCCCAAAAATTGACGAGCGCCTATTTCCACTGCGTCGTAACACATTTAATGTTTTCAATGAGTGATGTAGGAGGTCTTCCCTTATTTCTCTTTGCCTCCACCTTGCCCTGTAGCACAGGTGTGTTTATGATACAGTCAGGTGTTGAACCCGCTTCAGGTGACCTTCAGTTAGGTTGATCTTTTCCTTGGATCCCAGCACCTCTTCTTCTTTACAGGTCCCCCAGCGGTAAAGTTGAACTTCGGATGATTTGATCTTTTTTTGCCTCCCCTGACAATATCAACTCATCCATAGTCGACTGTATGATCCTGTACATTATTCCAAGACCAGACACAGTTGAATACATGATAAAGATACACAATCCAGCTTCAAGTCCTCAGAAATTCTTCTAGTTCTAGTCACACAGTCACAAAGTATCTACCACCATTTACCTAAAGCCTGAACACAATCCATTCTTACGAAGTAGGAAACATATTATTTAAGAATCCACCAATTTCATTACGTTAGAAATTCTGTTGCCAAAAAAGAAGCCAGCAAGCCCCGCACATCCATGAGTAGAAATAAAGCTTTTAAATGCTCGAAATATTGCAAACTTTTCTCTGCCAGAATTAGTCTCATTGGCCACAGCAGAAGCCATAAGTCATCTTGACCTTTAATTCTTTTATTTCTCTTTGAGAAATATTTTCCTCTGCAGATGCATTGGTCATCATTGCCAGACATTGATGGACGAACTATTATTTAAATTATTATTATCATTCTATTTCAACAAGTCACCACAAAAATGCCAGCTCATCCTCTAAGTGTTCTGCAAGTCTGCACCAGTCTCATCTTGACTTGAGCGTCTTACGAACACATTTCTGTCGCATGTCTGCAATCTTGGAGCGTGGCATGGAGCCGGTGACTGAAAAAATGTTCTGCGGATGGAAAAAAAAAGCCCACAAAGCTTGAGGAAACCACTTCAGAAATGGACTAACAGAAAAACAATGGAGTTTTCGTTTGTTTTAGTAAGAGTTTTACAGCACTTGCAAATCAATAAGGCCACATATAAGAGCCGAAAATTTAGAGGTGTTACAAGACAGTAACAAACATAAAAAAGAAGGAAGAGAGATAAAGATGATAGAAGTTTGATAGGAAGAAAGGAGCAAACCACACTAGACCACTGGCTATACAGATGTTTATTATGTCCCCCCCCCCCCCCCCACACACACACCCATTAAACACCATTTTCGTCATTTAGCAAACAGGCAGGCTTCAACTGTCTGTTGTGAAAATGTAATGGACTACAATAGTCTTGTGAAAAGTTTATGCACCACATGTTTGCAGTTTCTCTTCATTAAATCGTTATTGTAATAGTTGTCTCTGTTCTATAGGCCTGTCTGTTTCAGATTGATACTGTTCAGACTGATCCTCTGAAAGACACTGAATAATTCCTTCATCAAATTTCAGCAACTCCAATCTTATTGAAATCAATAATTCATCTGATATTTCACTGTCATGGTCAACAACCTGGGCTTAGAAGGATACAACATCCTAGCAGAAAGGCTGAGGAGATACTCCATAAAAATTATACCTTCCCAAAAGGGAATCAAATATGGATCTCTAGCATGAGATGGTGAAGTGTGTACCTGCCACAACACAGACGCCAGTACCTGTCCCCAGGGTTTTATGCAGCACGCATAATTTAGTAAAATTTGATCATTTTTTGCATAATTTCAGATTATTTTCATTTATCATTCTTTGTTAAAATGTACAGAATAGCATAATTTCCCATTTTTGGGCTCAGTTTGCATAATTTCAGAAACTTCTTTTTGCATAAACAGCGGGGAAAGCTAAGTACATCTCTCTCTCTCTCTCTCTCTCTCTCTCTCTCTCTCTCTCTCTCTCTCTCTCCCCACCTGGATAAATGTGTGACAGTCGAGGGTCAGAGGGTCTTTGACGATGTCTCGGAACACGTCCATGGCCTGTGGGAAGTTGGTGCACTGCAGGAGACGGTCTTTGTTGACGGTGATCAAGGTCAAGGCCACACGCAGGAGAATCTTGGAGCCCTCCAGGAAGAGACAGTCCCAGATCCGCAGAACAGTCTGAGGGGGAGGGGGGAGGGAGTGATTGCGTGTAGGAGTAAAGAATTATACATTTGTCTGTCTCCGCAGTTTTATGCAAAAAAAATTCTGAAATTATGCAGACTGAACCCAAAAATGTGAAATTATGCGATTCTGTTAATTTTAACAAAGAATGATAAAGGAAAATAATCAGAAATTATGCAAAAAAATGATCAAATTTTGCCAAATTATGCGGGGTGCATAAAACCCGGGGGACAGATGTGTGTCACGACGTGGTGGAATCAGGCGCTCGTCCATTTTGGGGCATACGGGGTTATTGGTATCATCTTAAGGCCTGTTCATTTGCTTTGCTTTTTGCTAAAAAAAAATATCCATCTATGATGAACAGAAGTCAAAATATTTGTGATTGAAGGATGTCAGGGTCAGCTGGTTTCAGAAGTAAAATTAGCGAGAAAATGGCCACCAAAGTTTGGTAATTACCATCACTTGAGAGTCCTTGGAAACTGAAAGATGACATTTTTTGTGCCTTTAATCAATGTTGTTGTTTTTTTAATCCACACATAAATGTGTTTTTAAATGGATAGAAAAGGTGTTGAGCGAATAAAAGAAAATTAGAAAAAAATTGCCTTACGGCAAGAAAAAGGCCAGTTTCTTTGATTTCATTAGTTCGAAGAGAGCCTGATTTCACCACAATGCCTCACATTTTTCAAACAGATATTTTAGTTTTAGTTTTAGTAGAGGTTTTACGGCACTCACAACTGCATAAGGTCATATATCAGCGCCATAAGATTAGAGGTGTTACAAGAGAGTAATTAACAAACTTAAAAAAAGAAGAAGGGGAGATAAGGACGATAGATGTTTGATAGGAAAGAAGAAACAAACCACACCAGAGCACCCGCCAACCATCCACTAACAGATATTTTACTAAAATACAGCTCTATAAAGCAATTTTTCAATGAGTTAATGAGTTTCTGACTTAAATACCGATATGTAATGAATTAATGGGTGAACATGTTTATAGCTAAAATCAATCAATTAATCAATGACTAAACGATTTAATTATCATTACCATTATTATTGATACTTGTATTACTATTACTATAATTACTATAAGTAGCCTATTCATACAATTCTTCTTCTTCTTCTTCTTCTTCTTCTTCTTCTTCTTCTTCTTCTTCTTCTTCTTCTTCTTCTTCTTCTTCTTCTTCTTCATCTCCTTCACCTCCTTCTTCTTCTTTTTTTTTTCATTTTCTTCTTTTCTTTCTTCTTTTTCTGTCTTCTTCTTCTTCTTCTTACCATCAGGACATACCAGGACCCTCACGCATACCCCCCATACTGTGGGTGGTTGGCAGGTGCTCTGGTGTGGTTTGCTTCTTCTTTCCTATTTAACATCTATCGTCCTTATCTCCCCTTCTTCTTTTTTATATTTGTTACTCTCTTGTAACACCTCTAATCTTCTGACGCTCATATGACCTTATGCAGTTGAGAGCATCGTAAAACCTCAAATAAAACTTACAAAATGCATACCCCCCACCCCCCATCTCCACACACACACCCCCTCAACGAGCTCACCTCGACCGGCATGACGTCAGCAAAGAGACAGATGAACCACTTCATGCCCACTAGGCTCCACTGGACTCCCAGACCCTCCAGGTGCGCATGCAAAACCGGAAGCTTCCACCTAGGGAGGACAAAAGAGGTTGTAGTTTTAGTAAAAGTTTTACAGTAGATGCAACACAATAAGACACACATAACAAACAGAGCACACTAAAACATACAACTCACAAAATATCTGTCCCCGTCGTTTTATGAAAGAAAAATTCTGAAATTATGCAAACTGAGCTAAAAAATGTGAAATAATACGATTCTGTTAATTTTAACAAACAATGATAAAGGAAAATAATCAGAAATTCTGCAAAAAATGATCAAATTTCGCTAAATTATGCGGGGTGCATAAAACCACGTGGACAGAAATATGTAGAAAACAAACAACACACAAAACATAAAAGACAACACAAGACACATAACAGACAACATACAACACATAAAACACTACACAAAAAACACAAAACATAACACACAACACAAAACACGCAAAATATAGCACACTAAATTTAAACCATAACACACAACACATAACACACAACACAAAACACACAACACAAAACACAAAAATGTAATAGACTACACACAATACAAAACACAAAAACGTAATTGACAACACACAACACAAAACAAAAACGTATAAGACTACACACAACACACAACACAAAATTGTAATAGACAACACACAACACAAAAACATAATAGACTACACACAATGCACAACACAGAAACGTAATAGACAACACACAACACAGAACACAAAAAAGAAATAGACCAAACACAATACACAACGTAATAGACAACACACAACACACAACACACAAAACAAAAACGTAAAAGACTACACACAACACACAACACACAAAACAAAAACGTAAAAGACTACACACAACAGACAACACACAACACACAAAACAAAAACGTAATAGACTACACACAACACACAACACACAACACACAACACACCATACCTGACTATCTCCCCCAACAACTGTTGCTCTGCCTGCACAGCTATCATGTCTGGGGCGTAGTAGTCTGGGGAGGAAACAAGGAAAAACAACAATTTAAAAATAGTAAAAATAATAATAATAATAATAATAATAATAATAATAATAATAATAATATAATTATTATAATTATAATAATAATAATAACAATAATAATAGTAGCAATATTAATAATAATATAATAATATCCATCATTATAACAATAATAATAAAAATCAGAATAACAGCAAGAAGAAGAAGAAGAAGAAGAAGAAGAAGAAGAAGAAGAAGAAGAAGAAGAAGAAGAAGAAGAAGAAGAAGAAAATAAATTATTAATATTGCCGATAAGTTGTGTGGCACCAACTTCCATACAAAGCAGATCTAGATACCATATACCTTAATCTAACTTAAAACAAATTAGTAAGTGCTTGAATGGAGCTTGTTTGACCATAATAATATGTTGCAAAAAAAAATTTGCCGTGAACTCTTATTAAAAGTAAAAAAAAGTACTGTGCAATCTATCCGCAATCATGCCAACGTGAATTTGACAAGGGAAATAATTGTAACAAAACCGGTCTTAGGTATTTCATGTAGAGTTCCCTCCCTTTCACTAATGCTGCCTTTTTCTTGGGCAACACTTGTATTTTCCTTTGGAGGGCGGCTAAAAGGCAAAGATTCACATGTAACAAAACATTTATATGGTCGCTTTTAAACACAAGGGGGTTATCCCGAAAAATGCTGTTTTGAGAAAATCGAAGATAGGCCTAAAGTTTTGGCCCCTTGTTCAGTTTCTTTAAAAGACACGGAGAGTTTTATTGGTAACCAACCAAATATACACACCAATGAAACCAAACTTCTCCCATAGGTAGGGTAACGCCCACTTTTGGTTCAGGTCAAGATTTCTGGAAATTCCTGAAATCTGGGTTAGCCCACTTGTCCGTAAAAGCGACCATATATTATAGTAGGCTAGCAATTAAAATGTACTAAGCCCAACATTTTGCTATTATTTTTTTTTAATGAAGTTTCTTAATGAGTGGTATCAGTTGCATGTGTTCAAGAAATATTTTGTATAAATTCTAAATCTAAATACATGTGTCCTGACGAGTTGGAATCAGACGCTTGTCAATTTTTGGACTGATGTAGTAATTGGTACCATCATAAAACTTGTTTATTTGTTCTGCTTTTGAAGAAAAAATTGACCATCTATCTAGAATGAAAGTCAAGGTATAAAAATTTGTGAATGAAAGAGGTGGGGGTTGCCTGGTGTCAGAGGTAAAATTAGCAAAAAAATGGTATGGTGACTTCTGAAGCTTGAGTGTGTTTACAATTATTATAATAATAATAATTATTATTATTATTATTATTATTATTATTATTATCAATATTATTATTACTAGAGTAATTATTATTATCATTATTATTATTATCATCATTATTATCATTATTATTTGTAATATTATCATTATTATCATTTTTATCATTATAATTATTATGATGATTATGATTATGATTATGATGATGATGATATTATTATTATTTATTATTATTATCATTATCATTTAATTTTTAAATTGTTATTAAAGTCAAAAAACTTTTTTTTTAAAGAGAGAAGCAAACCTGGTAAGACTGTCTGTATGAGGGTGTCCATCAGCCAGAAAGCCTTTTCCTCCGACTTCACAATCAACAACAGCAGCCCCGCTACAAAGTTCATGCCCTGGAGATAATTGCAGAATCAAACGTTTAATTATTTTGTTGTTGTTGTTGTAGTTGCAGTTGACGTTGTTGTTGTCATTGACATTGTTGTTGTTGTTGTTGACGTTGTTGCTGTTGTTTTTATTGGATGCCTCACATGGGATAGTATCCCAAAACTGAAACAGCTGATAAAACAGAGCAGAGGTGATTATTGGAGAGCTACATCCTGCAATGGATGGATAATGCCTATAAGGAAAGAATGAACAAAATACAATCTACTACCAAAGATATTCAGGAATTGAACCTACAATCTTTCAACAACAAGTACCCAACCACCAGACACACAGACACACGTCAAAACTGACCTGGCAGTAACCAATATGTGGGTTGCTTAGCGACACTGCTTCTAGAACATTCTGTAGAGGTTTTCTCAATGAGTTCGGGTCACCGAGTTCGCTGAAGTATACGTTTTCCGGAAATGTTCGGTGAATATCTGAAAATGACAAAGGCATTAAAAAGAAATTTAAAAATAAAAACAGAATATTTTCTGGAAATGCTCAGTGTATATCTGAAAGAGACAAATACATTATAAAATAAATATAAATATAAATAAAAAACAGAACGAACAAAAACAGAACGTTTTCTGAAAATGTTTGTTGAAAGTCTGAAAGAGACACAAAGGCATTCTTCAAACATAAAAGAGAACAAAAAAACAACCCCACAACAAACAGACAAGTGAGAATCTCTCACCTTGATGACACAACAAATAAAGCAGTCATGGAAAAAGAGTTTTTTTTAGTTTAAATAAGAGTTTTACAGCACTTGCAACACAATAAGGTCATGTAAGTGCCGAAGATTAAAGATGTTACAAGACAGTAACAAATAAAAAAAAAAGAAGGAGGAGAGATCAAGACGAGAGATGTCTGGTAGAAAAGAAGGAGCAAACCACACCATAGCACCCCCCTAACCTCCCACCTTTAGAAAAATGAGAGCATCCGAGCAAACAAAAATGAATAACGAACCATGATTGCTGATGTATGTGCTAATGATAGTGACTGTCAAGTTATAACAAACTAGTGAAAATCTCTCAATAACAAATAAACCAATGAAAATTTCTCAATTCCACGTAACAACAAAAATAAATAAAGGGCTTTGTGAGGAGATCAGCTGTCCTCAATACTTTGAATTTGCTCTTTTTTCCCCCTTTCTTGACTGATAGTGGTATCTTTATATAATTCTTCTTTTTTTTTTTTTTCAGAGTTCAAAACATTCTAAAAAAACCTGCTCTATAAACCAATAATCATTATCAACCTCAGGTGCCAGACCTGTGACAGACATCAGCCATCATGGCTCTCCGTTTATGCTCTCGAAAAAGCTACATTATCCTGGTCTTTCCCTGTCACCCATCTGTTTAGGCTCCCAAAGAAGGTTGCTCTTGGCCTACCCCTGCCTTGTTTGCCTTCAATTTTGCCAGTGAGAGCTAGATGTTCAAAACCTTTATATCTATTCAAATAGGGGGTTCATTTATTTTTTTCCTGATTGTTTCTATCAGCGAGTGGCCCACACGGTTCCTGTAAATACTACCTGATTTGATTTCTTTTCTTTCAAAAGATATTTTCAGCAGTCTCCTAAAAAAACAATATTTCTGTTGCTTCTATTCTATTTTCACTGTCTTAAGTGACTGTCCAGCATGTATTGCCACATAGAAGGGTTGGTTGGCCCTACAAATGTCCAGCATTCACAGTCATATAGAAGGGGTGACTATACAAACCAATTAAGAAGTCACGATACCAAAAGCAAAAATGTCAGTTGATAGGAGTGAACAAGGATTTCTTTAAAAAAATAAAAATTAAACACAGAAACAAAAAACCAACAAGAACAAATACAAAACAAAAACACAACAAAACAAAAACAGAAAAAAACAAAAAGCAAAAACGCAAAAACACTCTTAAAAATAATAATAATAAATGACATAATTTATATAGCGCTCAACCCCGATTAAAGTACACAGGCTCTGAGCGCTTTACAATACAGTACAACGTAAAACAGTAACAAAATAAAACGTTGTTTTCTGACTAGTGAAAATTACTCCAAATATTCATCTTATTAATTTAAAAACAGAAAAGACTTCAGGTGACAATTGAATGAATCAAAACATTTGACCTCTCTTAAAGTAGGCCTACTTAGTAAAGCATTCCAGATCTTGGGGCCTTGGTATTCAAATGCCCTTTCACCCATTGTTTTATTAAGTTTCATAGATGGTAAACTAAATTGTAAAAAGTAGGTCTCACCCAGCATGATGGTCTCGGACACGGCCGGGTCTGTGGTCATGTTCTTGAGGGTGCGGAACCTGTCCGGCTCAGCAGCCACTCGTCTGCTCGCTAGGCTCACCTGGAACCACACCTGGCCAGGGGAGGGGGTGGAGTTTTAGTTAGAGTTGGGGTACAGCTTTTTTGTTTTAGTAAGAGTTTTACGGCACTTGCAACACAATAAGGCCACATAAGTGCCGAAGATTACAGATGTTACAAGAGAGTAACAAGCAAAAAAAAAAGGAGGAGAGATCAGGACGAGAGATGTTAGGTAGGAAAGAAGGAGCAAACCACACCAGAGCACCCGCCAACCATCCGCAGCTTTACAGTACTTGCAATGAAATTAGGTTATAACAAAGTGCCCAAGGATAGAGGTGTTACAAGAGAGCAACGAACACAAACAAGAAGGAGGTTCGATAAGGACGATAGATATTTGATAGGAAACAAGGAGCAAGCCAACCTCAGCAAGGAAGAGATTTAGTTTTAGTTAGAGTAGAGTCTTACGGCACTTACAACACAATACAGTCATACAAGTGCCGAAGATTAGAGGTTTTGCAAGAGAGTAACAAACACGAAAACGGAGGAAAGATAAGGACAACAGATGTTGTATAGGGAAAAAAAGAGCAAACCATACCCCAGCAGGGAGGAGGTTTCGTTTAAATAAGAGTACAGTTTTACGGCCCTTACAACACAATTAGGTTATAAAAGTGCCGAAGATTAGAGGTGTTACAAGAAAGTGACAAAACACCCCCAAAAACGGAGGAGGAGAGATAAAGTAGAGGTTTAATAGGAGAGATAAGAGCACCATGCCAGAGCACCCGCCAACCACCCACAGGGGGGGGGGGGGGAACACCAAAATAATAATAATAATAATAATAATAATAATAATAATAATAATAATAATAATAGTAATAGTAATAATAATAATAATAATAATAATAATAATAATAATAATAATAATAATAATAATAACAATAACAATAATAATAATCATCATCATCATTTTTTAAAAATGTTTTAATAATAATAATAATAATAATAATAATAATAATAATACTAATAATAATAATAATAATAATAATAATAATAATAATAATAATAATAATAATAATAATAATAATAATAATAATAATAATAATAATAATGCAAGCAAAAGGCCTTTTTCAACCTATATCATTACTCCAACAGACCCTTGAACACTCTGAAACATTCTGGGTTCTCTGAGAAGCATAGCAGGGGCGAATGGGTGGTTGGCGAGAGCTCTGGTGTGGTTTGCTTCTTCTTTCCTATCAAACATCTATCATCTTTATCTCCCCTACTTCTTTTTTTATATTTGTTGCTCTCTTGTAACACCTCTAATCTTCGGCACTCATATGACCTTATTGTGTTGTAAGTTCCGTAAAATACTATTACTAAAATAGCAGTGCGAGCAGCCGATTAAGCGCTGAAATACTATTAACAAACTGACAAGATCTTTGTTGTTTACCTCTACTTCTTGCTTAGTCTCATTTTCTGTCCCCGAGGTTTTATGCACCCCGCATAATATTTTTAGCATAATTTGATCATTTTTTGCATATTTTCTGATTATTTTCCTTAATCATCCTTTGTTAAAATTAACAGAATCGCATAATTTCACATTTTTGGGCTATTTCATAGTTGTTTTGTTTGTTTGTTGTTTTTTGGTGTGTTTTTTTTTTGGGGGGGGGGGGGGTTGCATAAAACCACGGGGACAGCTAAGCTTGATTCCCGAGTAGAGTCAAACGTTTCTAAGGAGTATCTGTTTACTTTCTTTCTGCTGGAATGTTGTATCCCTATCAGCAACGTTTAGCCCTAGCCAAGCAGGCTGGGCCGGCTTTACATTTTTGCAAGAATCGAATCGTGTTACATACCACAACACAACACATTCCTGACACACTACACATTACTGACACACTACACATTCCTGACACACTACACATTACTGACACACTGCACATTACTGACACACACTGCGTCAAAGGCTCGAGACAATCTGACAGGTATTATTTCAGCTTGCCATTGTTTATTAACCCTATCCGTTCGCCCTGGGGTCATATTTTTGTACCCCCTGGGTTGTATTCTTCACATTTTAGAATACTTCTTGTACTAAGATCTCTTTGAAACTTTCAGTATTGTCTTTCTCAAAAAATCATTTTGACAGACTGCTATGCAAAGCGTACGGATCGGATTAACGAATAAATTTACTCTTTGGAAAGTGGTGG